TGTGAAACGACTAGGGGCGGGTCAAGAGAACACTATCCCGGCCTCGCCTTTTCCATGACTTCGTGCCAAAAGCCTTCGGTAGTCGGTCCTGAAGCAAAGAATCAGCAGGGCTTGGAGAGATCGGGCCACTTCTCGAAGCAATACTCGTAAGGAAAGACATTATCATGATTCACAAAAACCTCAGGTTTCACACTGGTTCCCGATCTTCCAGCTCTGTTGCTGATCAAAGATCCCTGCTCGGCTATGCCGATGGGGATCAAAAGTGACTCTTGGAGCCGTTCCCACCAGCTAGCAGGATTCTGGGGCTTGGTCAAAATATCCCCGAGCTGTGTTTCGCCCGGTACCCATGCTATCGGCAGATGGCCGTTGATCCTCTCAGACTTCAGAGACTGCCTCAGGGCAGCCAAGTCGACTGCCAAGCGTTTATCGCTCGGCACCCGGGGAACTCCTTGCTTGGTGAGGTGATCGAAGAGACTCCTGCAGTCAGAAAGGCATAGGACTGGGGTGATCGCCTCGTTGACTCCGGTGAACTCGCCATTGGTGAGGGTCTCGTAGAGGGATCTCATGTATTGGCCGGTTTCCAAGCCCTCAACACACGCTTGTGTTTCGGCGCCGAAGGTCGATCTACACACTCTTTGTCCTGCTCTAGACTTCCAGTCGGCTATGCTGAAGACTCCAGGCTGTCCACTGATCGACCCCCTGTCGGCGAAGAGGACAAGGCATCCAAGCTGCGATGCCACCTTCGAAGTCCCCTTCTTTGCCTTCCGTCCACTGCGCTTGTAGGAGTCTGGGGCCTCTCTCTGAAGTCCCGCCTCGTTGTCCTCCGCAGTCAGCTGGTAGTAGGTCTCCTCGGGGTCCGGCTCCGGGACGTTCGCCCAAGCCGCATCGTGGTAGCAGATGATCATCAGTCTGTCTCCGTCGATGGCCTTGAACCGCAGGCCGTGCTCCTTGTAGTCTCGCGCCTTCGCAGCCACGGAGTTGGTGAACCTGATGTCCCCGTAGCACGGACTTTGCTGTAGTTGCTGCGCCATGCTCACAGAGCATGTCAAGTCCGGCCTGCTCTGGGCCGACATCCATGACAGGGCTCCAATCAGGGACCTATTGTCGGCTACCAACTCCTGGGGGGCCGGTTCGTCGTCTTGAGCTCCTTTGGGGATGTCGAGGCTGAACAGCCTCGTGGAAGCGTACCTCGACTGGTTGATGTGGACCTCGTTGTCGACGATGCTGAAGTGGGAACCTAAAAACTCGAACTCATCATCTTCCCACGTCTCAATGGGGAAAGTTGCCGACAGCCCTGCTTGCATCGCTTTCATGAAGCTCTCGGGCGCGGCGATGAGTATATCGTCGACGTGGCATCCTATAAATGCCAATGGCCTACCCACGAACTTGCCATCGAGGTACTCGCGCAGCATGAAGATGCAGGGGTCAAGGTCGCACTGCTCGAAGTAGTAGTCCTTGCCTCCGACGGTCACTTTGGTGGCGTAGATCCCATCCTGTAGGTCCAACCACCACTCATGAGGTGACGTAGCCAGCCCAAAGACATTCTTTTTGACCCGGACCAGATCCCCCGGATTCATATCCGGAAAGCCGGTGGCCGGCTGGTGGATGTAGAGCTCCCTGGTCAGGTAGCTGCCCGTCAGAAATGCGCACCGGATATCCCCTGCCGCCATGTGCCAGGGGTCCGACTCCTTGAGTCCATTGGCGTATGTCCGGCTATAACCAACCGGGATTTGCATTTCCAAGGGACTTGTTCTCCTTCTCGACGACGAGCATAGTTTTTGTCCCTGTAGGCCCACCTGCTCCTCAAAATCCTTGACGGATCAACCCTTCGCCTGACCTCTGCTGACTGCTCTGACGTCAACGGGGCCAGAGCATCGAAGCTCAGATGCTCCTGCCATTGGGTGACTTCGGCTGAGCGGAAGTCGTCCTTCATGTCGTCGGGGATCTCGTTCCAGCGTAGCTCTTTCTCCTTTCTCTTTTCGACGCCGCGCCTCGTCAAGTCCGTCTTGAGCATCATTGCCTCGTAGCTGTCTCCAGGTAGCTCGTCGGGTCTCATCTTACGCTTCAACCTTCTTCTTGGTGGTCCACTGGCAATCTCTCCCGTCTCCTCATCTTCGGGGTCGGGTCCAAGCTCGATCTCACCGACTCCATAGCCATCATCCTCGTCACCATCCAGGTCCATGCCCTCGTGTTCCTCGTCCTCAAGCTCCTCTCCTCCATCGTCGAAGGTGGCCGGGTCGTCTGGATCTCCTTCAAGTAGCTTCTCGATTTCGCGCTTCGTCCCTTTCATAACAAAGTACTCTCCGACCTCCTCTGGCGATGAAGGCCTCACATGCTCGGGTGCCTTGAGCCGGCACCTTCCCCCTTTTGATATCCAGTAGTTGCCGCCTTCGGTGCCCACGATGATGCCAGGACCTTCCCACTGACCCCGACGTCGATCTTTGCGCTGGTGCCAGAAGTGTACCGTCTCACCGACGTCGAGCTTCCGGCTTGTAGTCCTGGCCCTCTGTAGGAGCGCCTTCCTTAGCCTGCTGTCGAGCTGACTATTGTGGAATGCCACCCTCGCTGAGGCCCGGATGACCGATTGTCTTTGAAACCTGGCCTCGGCTGAAACGTCCCAAGAGACCCTCTCTCCACTGTCAGGGTCGCGTAGTTCTTCAGGAAGTCGAGGACCTCGGCCGAATACCCATTGTGATGGACTGTAACCGCACCTCCTTCTCAGGTCATTCTTTGCCGCGGAAACGATGGGGACGGCGATATCGACCTCGTCCTCGGTAATCGTCAACTCGTGCACGATCCTCTCCCAGACATTCTTCCACCACGCTTGTTGCCTCTCGACAATCCCAGCTTGCCAATGACCTTGGGCCGCAACGCTCCTGATGTCTATTCCGTGCCAGTCACAAAGGCGCGCGAGACCTGCTTGTAGACCACCATCGAGGTCAACTGCAATGGACTTAGGCGCGCCGTAAGGTACGATCCAGAGGGTGTTAAAGGCGTCCTCAATGTCCCCGGCGGATTGTCCATCAACTCGTACGACTTGGTGGAAGGTCGTCCCATAGTCTGCAATGGAGAGGAAGGTGTGCTTGACGTCGTTCGCGTCGTGCGCGTAGAAGATATCTACGCCGAGAAGTTCACCGAAGTCCAACATATGAGGAAGGGCACTTGGCCTTTGGCTCTTGGGGCCACCTGTGGCAGCGCATACCTCGCATGTCATAGACCTCACCGCTTTGAGCACTTCTTCACCACATCCAGCTAACCTCAAATGCCGAAGCAATTCCTCGCGCCGGGGGTGGCCGAGGTTCTGGTCCATGCGTCTGAGTGAAGTAGCGATCTCCGGGGGCGTACTCGCATCGAACTTGATGGCTGAGCCATCCACTGGATACACCCCACCTGGATTGCCCCTGCCACCGATTGCGCTGAAGTCGTGTCCTCCGTCCACCACGAAAACGTCATGAGCCCGTTCTGCTCCGACCACGCATCGCCCTCCGACCTTCGCCTTGTAGTAGACGACGGTGATCTTGCCCTCGTCCTCTCTATGGAACTGACGGCAGCTGTCATCAACATCACCGCGTCCGAGCTGCCCGAACAAGCTGTCGTCCTTATCACCAACAATGACTGCCGATCCTCCGCTATTGATCTGGTGTCCGATAAGGTCACATAGCGCCTCATCATCTCCGCCAGACTTGCCGTAGAGGTTGATGCGTAGCTCCCGTGGGTAGCCTCCATTCACGATGTGGTAAGCGGCCTCCTTTCCCTCACACGTTCCATATCTTTCCCATGTCATCGGCTCGAAGACGTCCTTGTCCAGCTTGACCGCCTCTTCGGTACCGCCCACGCCACCGATCTCGAACATCACGATAGGGGAGTGGACTTTGTCTGAGTACACGCCGCGCCCAAGGAAAGAGTCGGTAGCCAGGGCTAGCGATGTAAGCATGACCCCAAGCTTGGCCGCGTTGCTGAAGATTGTCCTCCTCGTACTCTTCCTCGGCATGGTCCCTGAGCTCCCTCTGCTGGCCGGCACCGGTCGGGGCAGTTTGAACTCGAGGTTCTTGAGGTACTTGGCAAGCTCAGGCGAAATCTCTCTCATACTTTTTGTCGTGTGAAACACCGCGCACCATTTGTCCTCGTCCCAATCCAGCGTTGCGTGCTTCAGAAAGGGGTCAAAGTGAATGACATTGTTGTGGGAACGGTGCAGCCGTCCAGGTACCCAGCCACGGCCATTGATGTTCTTCCACTTGACATCGTCCGCATGAGCCTGGCCCTCAGTGAGCTCCTTTTCCTCGATCCAGACGAGTCCGGGATCCCTGCCCCCGGTGGTGAAGACGAAGTTCTCGCTGCCACGTTGGTTGTTGAAGTCGTGATGTGGCTCTGCACTGCATCCCTTGATGACCGTGATTGACGACCAGCTTGCCCCTTCCGGTAGTAGGTGTCGTCCGATCCGATTCAGGTATCTCACGAGGTCTTCATCCGACTTTGTCTTCGTGGTGATGCCGTAGACGCCGCCGTGGGTGTAGAGCCCGAACGTCTCGTAGAGGACTTCCCGGTTAGGCCCCCCTAGAGCCTTCCCTTTTGTGTTCTTCTGGGCCTTCATGTCCGTCTCTTCGAGGACCCTTTGTATCATCTCGAAGCTGTAGTCGCCGTCCCGAAGAGCTTGCCGTAGATGAACACGATCGTCCCCTCCAGGTTGAGGTCCGCTCACCGCGTAGATCCCCTTCTGGTTGTAGTGGCCCTTCACGAAGTCGCCGTCCGTGATGAAGGTCTCGCCCTCTTGATCGTGCCGTACTCCTCCGCAGCACCATCCAGCATTCACCAAGGTCTTACGGCCAAAATGGTTGCCGAAGTGATCATATTCTGCGCGGTGTCCAGGGGCAGAATGTCCCGGGAAGATAGACTCCGCTGCGCTTCCACCGTGCCCATGGAAATCGGAGGACGGCCTGGGCGCTCCGTC